CTTCTCGCTGGTCCCTTGAACTTGAGTACTTCTTTATCTTTAGTTTCGTAGTAATAGGATTTTGGTGCTAAAAAGTATCCTTTCAGAACTCTGTCCTCTAGCTTAAACTTACCTAAAGCAGAAGAAGAAATCAGTTCTTCAGGTAGCGGCTGACCAAGCACAACTGAGTCTGTGTCCGTGTAGTAGCAGTCCTCTCTTGAGATATAAGGGTACATATAGATCCTAGCATAGGCAGTGATCGCAGCAGCTAGTTGGACAGCTGAGTTTTCCGGTGGCTTCCAATAATCAGGGCCCTTATCGGTATTGCTATGGAAGGAAATGATGTATTTGTTCTCATCAAGCAATTCACTGAATATAAGATCACAATGCCTGAGCATATTTTTGCTTTTCTTTTCATCGCAGATCTCTGTTATAGTGCTTTTAGGGTTAATGCCAAATCTACCGTATAGCGAATTCATTAGGGTCTTGTACACATAGGCCATTGCCTCATTCTTTTCTTTCTTTGCCTCTAACCTGCTCTCAAAGAGTGAGCTAACAAAGTCCTTGAATGGGCTTTCCTTCCTCTCAAAAAGGTAGCCTGAGATTGGGATCACAGTGTAGCCAATGTCTCTTGCATACTTTAATTCCTCGCTAAAGTACACTCCAAAAAATTCCCCGGTTGGAAAGATGAGAGTGTTTTCCTTGTTTCGATAGGGTAGAAAGGGCTTCTTGATAGTCTTCGGACATTCCACATAAGCCTCAATAAAGCCAAACATGCTATCTAAGTCCATGCCATCCAGATTTCCTTGCCAGACTGGCGCACCACCAGGCATAGGAAATTCCTTCATTACAAAGGGATAGAGAGAGTTCACATCGTAGTAGTATAGGTCCTCGCCATATGGCTTGTATGTATCTGTATGACCACCGTAGTATGCACGCCTTATGAAGGTGTCTTCATTCTTGTTTGGGATGTGGATTGGCCAATTAGAAGCATCGTAGTATTTCAAACGAAAGATGGTTAGAGCCAGTGAGGGAAGGG